GAGAGACTGGAGCTGAGACAGTGATGGGTCAGGGATGGGCGGGACCACACCTGGACCAGGACTCTTAGCCATGCAGACCTCCTGTCTCTGTTTAAACCTAAGTTCATGTCAGGACCAGAGGTGGACTTGGGGGTCACCGGACCTTTGTTCCTCTTCCCCATGTGGCCGCACTGAATGAATCACGTCTCCACTTTCTACTGTTTCTTGTCTGAAACACTGGGGACAGGTGACCAGGCCTGGGTTACTGGGGCTGCTCAGGTTTCAACCCTGTCAACTCTGGTTTCTACGAGTGTCCCTGGGCTGTGAAGTCCAGTCGTTGTCTCTCCTCTCAACCCTAACCCTGGAGCTCCTCCCAGGAAGCCAAGATGGGGACAGACACAGTCTCGGGACAGCAGAAAGTATCAGGGAGCCTGGTCATGCTCCCCCAGCTCAGCTCTATTTCTCAGCCATGGACCCCCATGCAACTCTGAGGATGAACTGAGAGTGCAGAGGCCTCCCCTCTTAGGGTCTGAGTCCCTCCCAGGAGCTAAGAAAGGAGCCACTAATTTGTCTAAAAGTGTAGAGGAGGCTCAACTGAGCTCTCAAATGTTAGGCTGATCTCTTTAAAAAAGAAAAAGTAGAGCTGGACGTGGTGGCACACGCCTGTAGTCCCAGCACTTGGGAAGCAGAGGCAGGCAGATCTCTGTGAGTTCCAGGCTAGCCTGGTCTACATAGTGAGTTCCAGGCCAGCTGGGGCTGCAGGGAGACCCTGTCTCAAAAAAGACAAAAAAAAGAAAGAAAGAAAAAGTGAGTCAACAAGATGGTTCAGGGGGTAAGGATGCCTGCCAGCAAGCCTGATGACCTGAGTTTGATCCCTAACCCACATAGCAGAAGGAGAAAACTGATCCTGCAACTTGTCCTTTGACCTCCACAACCTCACCACAGCACGCATGCCCCCGCCCAAATACATGTAATTCCTTGCTTGAAAAGAACTCTACCTTTGAGTTCCACCTTCCTCCCCCTAGTAACCTCAGGGGGCTGTTGGTACCTGCTGGCTCCTTTTCCCAGAGAGTGAAGAGCTGTCATCCCAGCAGACCTTCAAGAGCCGGGGTTTTCAGTGTATCTTCTCATCTCCCTCCCACCATCCCTGGCTTTTCCAGGTGTAGGCTTGAGGGAGGTGAGGGATCCAGGCCTGTCTTAGGTGACTGGCAGACTCTGCACCACACACACACACACACACACACACACACACACACACACTACACTGAACACAGAGTGTGCAGAAAAACACAATAGACAGTGGTCTAGCCTGAGACCTTGGGTCTATGGTATGTGACTCCCCTGCATGCCCAGACATCCTACGGGGCTCTGGATGACACAATTCCTTCCTGGATGGCAATGTGTGCTGCTTGGGTGCCTCTCTGGGGACACTCTAGGCCCAGCCCCTATTTATTCCAGCCAGAGGGCCATGGCAGGGTTTCCACCCTGGTTTCAGGTCCTTGGGGCAGGAGCCCATTCTGGGACAACCTGAATCATGGAGGCCGCCCAACCACCTTTGGGCTCTCCAGGGGGCTTCCGACTACCTCTCTGGCTTTACCGCATGGTAGTCCCCACAACCTCTCCATCTTTCTAGATCTAAGCCAAATTCAAAGAATGCCCTTTTGTCAGGAGGTGGGGATGATGTTCCTTTAAGACAGCACAGTACTGGGCTCAGCAGTTAAGACCACCAGCTGCTCTTGCAGAGGACCAGGGTTCAGTTCCCTGCACCCACATAGTGGGTAATGACTGTCCATAACTCCAGGTCCAGGAGCTCCAACACCCTCTTCTGGTCTCCATGGGCATTGCACGCACATGGTGTACTTACATATATGCAGACAAAACATTCATACATATAAAATAAAAATAATAAATACATACATGTGCATAGATATGTTTAATCATACAGCTGCCTATCTGTAGGCCTAAGCTTAGAGGATTTGCATAAAATATTCCCATGGGAATGTTCTGGAGACCTTTTGATTTTTAAGGAAGGGTCTTATTGTGTAGTTCACACTGGCCTCTAACTCATGACAGTTCTCCTGCATCAGTTTCCTGAGTATTTGGGATCACAGGCATGGCCTACAACACCTTGTAGGAAACTTGTTTTTAAAAAGCATATAGGGCTCGGGCTGGAGAGATGGCTCAGCAGTTAAGAACACTGGTTGTTCTTGCAGAAGACCCAGGTTCGAATCCCAGCACCCACATGGCAGCTAACAACTGTCCGTAACTCCAGTCCCAAGGGATCCAACAACCTCTTCTTTCCTCCGCGGGCATTGCACGATGTGGGTGCACTTACCTACATGCAGGCAATACACGCATACACATAAAATAAAAATAAAATATTTAAAACCATATAGAGTTGGAGAGATGCTCAGTGGGTCAAGCGCTTGCTGTGCAAACACGAGGAACTGAGCTTGGATCCCCGGGGGGGCGGGGGGGAGGAGGGCAGAGACAGGAGGATCCCTAGGGCTTGCTGGCCAGCCAGTCTGCCAAATCAGCGAACCCCAGATTCAGTGAGAGACGCTGTCTCAAAAAATAAGGTGGATAGCCATTGAGAAAGGCACCTGGCAGTGGCCTCTGGCTGCCACATAAATGCCCACACACATGCATGAGTACACACACACACACACACACACACACACACACACGACTCCACATAATTAAAAAAATTTTTTTACATTTATTGTCTATAGGAGTGGAGGGTGTGTGTCCACGTACCATTGCTCCTGTGTGGAAGTCAGAGGACAATTTTCAGAATCAGGTCTCTTTTTCCACTAGGTAGGTCCTGGACACTGAACTCAGGTCATCAGGCTTGGTGGCAAGCGCCTTTACCTGCTGAGCCATCTTGCTGGCCCCTCCACATATCCTGATGAGACAGAGTTCACTGTGTAGCCCAAGCTTGCCTAACTGGGCAATCCTCCTGCCTCAGCTTCCCAGGTACTGGGATTATACGTATCACCTTTCCCCACTCTCTATACATATATTAAATGTATTGTATGTGTGTGCACATGTGTGTGCATTCTTACATGCTCAGGTGCTCAGGCTCCTCACCCACTGAGCCACCTCATTAGACTGCTTGATTGTAAGCCATGAGCATGGACTGCTACCTAAGAATGTTTTAACCACCCTGCTCTCGGAAAATCCAAATGTGTGTAAGGGTTTGGAGCTCTGTGCCTGTCTCCTGCCGCTAATGCCAGCCTCCTCTCCCAGAGTACAGGCTGGAGCCCTGGGGTGCCCTGTTGACCACAGTCCCTGAGGAAAAGAACATGGGGCTCCCATTCAATGGCCCCAGCCTCTGTTCCCAGGGCTCCTGGCTCTGCAAGCCTGTGATTCTGGGTTGGGTGAAGCTGGGCCCATTCTAGGGAACCAGCCCTGGAATTCCAAAAATGTCCTGTGGTCAGGCCCTGGCCTCGCCTGTGACTCAGCACAAAGCCTGGCCAGGCAGTGTGTTCTACCACAGTGTGCTTTCAAATGGGAGACGAAGCAGGGGGCCTACAGGGCTGTGGCCAGGCCTGCATGCTCTCAGGGTGGACACTGGCTCCAGGAATCAGGAGTTCCATGTGTCCATGGCATCCACGGAGTCCACAGCAGGTGCAGAGCCACGTGGCGCACAGGCGGAGAGGCACCGCAGGAATGCCCAGCCCTGAGGCCAGACCCGTGTCCCAGAGGTGCGGAGCACCTGAACGCCCTGGCCCTAGCCCCGTTCACCAGTTCACCGCAGCTGAACCAGCAGCTGCCTTTGCAGGTGCTGGAACCCTGGAGTCTGTGCACCTCCCCCTCCGTCCCCATCTCTGCTCAGAGGTCCCCTGTTTGGAGAGTTGGCAGACGGTGCAGAGGCCCCCACCCCAGCCTCCTCTGCCTGCCTCACTTTCTCTCTGTGGCTTGCTCCCTCAGTCCTGATCCGGCTCCACATCTTACTGTATTTTGAGCGGTTGTCCATCTCTGAGTTCTGTCCCCAAGGACAAGAGGCTTGTTTGGGTCCCTACCTCGTCCCCAGTGCCCAGAAGGGACCCTGGCAGTCAAAACTGGCTTAGTGAGTCTTTGAATGAGAGCATTATGCTGACAAAAAGAGACCCCACCCTAGATCTAAACCAGCCAGCCCTGGCCCCTGTGCAGAGCTGTTAGCACTGCTTGGAAGGAGGACACAAGGGTCAACCATCCATCTGTAGAGATTCCCCACAGGTGTGTTAACACCCCAGAACCAAAAAGGGGTGTGTGAGCCAAAGAGGCCAGTGGCCAAATTGACTCCCCGCCCCCCTTTCATTGATTTTTGAAAGGCAGGGGCCATCCTCAGCACAGCCAAGGACTCCAAAGTCCCCAGACACTGCCTACCCCTAACATGGGATGGGACTGACTAGGCCTGTCTGTTGTCAAGCAGAACCCTCCGCATTGTGAATGGATTCCCTATCATCTCATCTGTGAGTTGGAATTGAGGGACTCCAGGACCCCCAGCCACTGGGAATGAGACCAGGAAAGCAGCCTGTAGAGCCCTCCACACTTGCTCAGGGCAGAACAAAAGATAAGCCTCTCCCCAGACTGGTGTGCAGGCTTCCAGTGTATTCTCAGTGACGAACGGGGGTGGCATTCCTCCTGAGGACCACATGCGACTTGTCCAATGGCCAGCTCACCACAGTCACTATCATCCCCATCCTGGGGGACACTGGAAACCTCATCTTCTTTTTTTATTTTACTTCACTTTATTTTTGATTGATAAATTACAATAGTATGCTTTTAATGGGGTTGAGTGAGTTGCTTTGATCTATAGAAGTGAGGTGATGGTTATGCTGATTAGTGTGATTTAAGAATTCCGACGGGCAGGCACGTGCTGCCACGCCCATCATTTTTACAGGATGCTGGGGATCAAAACCAGCCCCCAATTTCTTGTGTAGCACTTTACAGACTGAACCTTCTCCTGAGCCCCTAAACATGCTTTTTAAAGGTCTACTCCACCCCCAGCTTCCATGAAGCTGTGTCCTGTTGAATCTGGGGCTCATGGGGAGAAGCCGTGTGGAGCGGAGTCAGGAGGAACTTTCTTTTTGGCTTTCAGAGGAAAGAGTCTGGAAGATTCTCAGGGTCCTGCTTCCGAAGGCACCGGTCACTGGGGTAGGGCTCCATGGGCCTGGCACACTCTGGCCGAGTCCTCCTCCAGTCAGTTCAGGCTCTGGGAAGCATCCAGGCTCGCTGTCCTGGGGTGCACGAAGGTCTGCGCATGCTGGAATTTGACCCTTTTCCAGCTAAATAAACCCCAGGACAGGATCAATGGAGAAGCTGTTGTTCAGGGCAGAGGGGGGAAAAGCATCTGATAACCCTGAGGCCATAGGCCAGCGGTCAGGACCTGCCAAAACCCACACACAGCCCCAGGCTCTCTGCCGCGGAGGTGAGCCCCAGGCAGTGAAAACACCAGTCCACCCAGGCACCCCAGGCCCTGCCCTGCCCTTCCCACAGGACAGACCGAGCTGGAGACAGTGGAAGCTTCCCGGCTGGCAACAGCTGCTGGGAACTCAGCCAGACCCTCAGACCCCAAATTCATATGCCAAAGTCTGACTTTATCAGGAGAAAAACTTTGTTTTTGGAACCTGGGGCTTCCTGAATGCTAGCCAAGCACTTTACCCAGTGAGCTACATCCCCAGTCCCGGGGAGACTTTTATAAATGTAAATAAGTTCAAAGGAAAACGCTGGGATGCAGTGTGCCCTTAGGAAGAGGGGAAACCCACATAGAGACAGACAAACCGACCCCACACTGCACTGCACGAAGCCAGTTCATAAGCCAAAGATAGAGCAGCCCTCGGACCTGAGCAGACAGGCTGGTGGCTTGCTGATGGTCACACAGCACAAGTTGAAGGTGGGCTCTGCAACTCACCTCTGGCTCTGGGCCCTGGGACTCCAGTGGTAGATCACAAAGAGGCAGCTCTTCAAGTCTGAGGACAGCTGGACCATCTCGCCCAATGCCCAGCTTTGCATATGTCACAGCAGTTACTCTCTGTAAAGTGGATGGGCCAGCAACGTAAACTAAGAACCCTCCTGTAAGGATGTGCAAAGCTGGGCTGGAGCTTCATGTCACCAGGAACAGGTTGTTGCTGGGCTCAGACAGGGACCAGGAAGGCAAAGCCCTCCCAGCCGCGCACGTCCACATGCTCACAGCCTGGGAGCTGCTGTCCTGAGATTGGGGACAGTCAAGAGGAGGAGCAAGAGGATGTGATGACTGCTAATGTCACCCACCTTGTGTCTGAGCTTCTCCTGTTGCTGTGATAAAATATCCTGACCAAGTTGTGGTGAAGTCACATCATCTGAGCTCAAAGCAGCTGGTCAGAAGGGAACTTCTGGGGTTTATACCAGAGCCCCTGCCTAGGGAATGGTGCCACCCACAGCTGGCAGCTTCTCACCTTAGTGAACATAACAGGATGGTCTTGAGGACATTCTCAGAAGTCCCTTGCTATGTGAGTCTAGATTGTGTCGTGTTGACAACACATCACACCAGCCCCCACCCCAACAATGGCCTGGGGCTGTTCTATCCAGCCCCTGACCTCAGGGACAGACAGACTACCAGACCTCACACAGGCAGGCCTTCTGAGCATCACTGATACCCCAGCACAAGCTGCCATAACAATTCTCAGAGAGGAGTCAGACGTGCGCCCTGGTCCTCAAAAGCACACAGCTGGCTGGCTGGAAGACAGCCAACTCTCCCTTCCCTCCCCAACTCCTGTTCACTCAGTCACTCCACAAGCTCCTCACCCATGCGGCAGACTCAGAGGCCCCAGGAGAGTGAGGTGGGTGGGTGGCTGTGAGGTGGTTTCCAAGGCCTCAGTGGCTCCAGCCCTGTGTAGTCAGTCTCCTCCAAAGCATGTAGAAGTCAGTGAAAGATTAAGTTCCATCATCTGGCAAAGATGGAGGGGTTTCTACAGAGGGGATTAGGGTTCTTAATAAATTAAGCAAACAGGAGGAGGAGCAGCAGGTGGACCTGACGTAAGCAGATTGGCCCTTTAAAAGCTATTGGAAGGCTAGGGCCGGCGGCGTCGCTCACTTGTGCTCTAGCAGTCAGGAAGCTGAGTTAGGAGGATTGACAGGAATTCAATGATAGCCTGGATTCCGGAAAGAGACCCTGTCTCAAGACAGATCAGCCAGCTGTGGTGGCGACACCAGTTACCCCAGCATTCGGGAGATGGAGGCAGGAGGATGGGGATAGCTAGTTTGCCAGGGGCTGGCAACATGGCTCAGTGGGTGAAGGGGCTTGCAAGCTTGAGCTTGATCCTAGAGCCCACATGGTGGAAGGAAAGAAGTGACTCCCTCAAGCTTTCTTCTGACTGCCACACTCGTGCCCAGGAGTGAGCACGCCAACACACACACAATGTTAGTGAATAAAATTTAAAAGATACAAAACCCTGGAACTAAGGAGAGTTTTTACATTCAAGGGGAAACAGAAGTTCAAGGTCATCTGGCAACAAGAGGCCCTGCAGTGGATCACTGTGACATGGCTTCATGACATGGGACTCCAAACCACAGATGAACCTGGCTCTGTCCACACCTGGACAAAGCTTTGTGAGACAGAAGACTCAACTAAGTCCCATCCTGACCCAGGCCCGGTTCACCCTCAATTTTACTTTAACACAGCATCTACATGTGCCACCTTCCTCCTCCCCCGGGGCAGCCAGGCTCCACAGTCACAAGTTCCACCCCCGCAGATTCACCCAGCTGTGGACTGGCACTTCACAAAAAAAGGTGTCTGTGGTGGATGTGGTGGCTCACGCCTTTAATCCCAGCACTTGGGAGGCAGAGGCAGGCGGATCTCTGTGAGTTCAAGGCCAGCCTGGTCTCCATAGCGAGTTCCAGGACAGCTGGGGCTACAGGGAGACCCTGTCTCAAAAAAAAAAAAAAAAAAAAAGGTGTCTTCGCAAGACCTGTGTGATTTGTGTGTGTGTGTCATGGTTGCCCCCAAAACACAGCATAGCGACCATTTTTGTGGCCATTGGTTGCTAGGGATGTGTTTTCTGGAGATGACTCTAGTGCCAGGGAGGACATGGGATCTGTACAAACACTCTGCTTGGGCACCTGCAGTGGCAGGTGGGAGGCAGGCAGCCCCCAAGCATATTGTTAGCAGCAATAGAAATCACACAAGGGGCTGGGAAGGCGGCTCAGTAGGTAAAGTGCCTGCTGTGTAAACATGAGGACCTGAGTTTGGATCCTCTACACCCACAGAAAAGCCAGAGTGGTGATAGGCTCCTGTAACCCCAGCACCCGAGCGTGGAGACAGGCAGGTCCTGAGGCTCACTGGCCAGCCAGCCCAGCCCATCAGTGAGCTCCAAGTTGAGTGAGAGACCCTGTCTCAAAAAATAAAATAGAGGGCAACAGATGGTACACAGTGCTGAACTCTGGTCTCTGGGTGGACTCTGGTGCACAAATACTTGCATGTGCCCATACATAGTACGCACACATGAACATGTACACACACAAAATTTTATTAAAAACAAAAATATAGGGCCAGGCATTGTGGCACACACCTTTAATCCCAACACTCAGGAGGCAGAAGCAGGAGGATCTCTGTGAGTTCAAGGCCAGCCTGGTCTACATAGTGAGTTCCAGGCCAGCTAGGGCTGCATAGTGAGACCCAGTCTCAATAATAATAATAATAGTAATAATAATAATAATAATGATGATGATTTTTTAAAATCACAAGAGATTTCCTGAGCCAGGCACAGATTCTGCAGGTAAGTAGCTCATGGTTTAAGGGGACAGTGATATCTCACTCATTAATTCACACATTCACTCACACCCATGTACCTTCCATGTTACACACCAGGGCTGGGTTCCTACATGCTGTGTGTGGGGCTTCCAAGTGGACATTTTATGACCCCCACCAAGAACTCAGAATGTGGCAGGTAGGAGTCATACAGACTCCCTGGGGACCTCTAAGGCTGGCTGAGGTTGCCTGTGGGGTGCTCAGAAACACAAGAGACACCGCTCCCTTGAGTGTCAGTCCACTAGGGAGCCCTGTGCCAGACAGGGCACTAAGAGCTATGAACATCAGCTGCCCATTATGTCTGCAGACCAGGTGCCTGTTCTGCAACCCAGACTCCATCCCAGCCTTGGAGGAGCCCTCACGCACACACACAAGCCATCCCGCATCCCTGCCCCTTTGAGGAATCAGGCCCTTCTCCTGTGCTGCCTGCCCTGCGTGACTGGTCAGAGGAGTGATCAAAGCTCTGTTATCCTGTCCCAAAGGCCTGCCCGCCCACGCCGCTTGGATAGCCAGGAGTTCTGTCCTGGGCTCCCCTGTGTTTAAACATGACCCCTGACCCTGCCTGTTGCACCCAACATCCAGGCCGTCAGGGACTGGCTTGAAGCCTCGCCCCCCTGTACAGTCTGGGGCTCCCCACAGGACATCTAAGAGCTAATCCATAAGAGGTCAGTGTTGGGGTCCTGCCACGTCCAAGCCTCTACACTGAGCCCCTTTGCTCTCTCCTGGGAACCTCCCTGGTGAGGCCACCCAGATCCTGCCCACAGCTGGTGTAGACTCACCAGAACCATGCAGGGGGCAGATTGGGGACCCCACATGCACAAGGACACTGGGATCAGGCAGGTCAGACAGATCTGGGATCTCAGGGTCCCCAGGCCTGTTCATCCCCACAGTGGCGTGACAGTGACCCCTACGCCTTTGCTCATGAGTTCTCTCTTGACAGACGTGTGTGTAGTTGCTAGTTTGAGGTTTTACAACAAAAACCTCTCTGGATGTGAGGGACAAGATTTTATGAGGCTGTGTCCTGGAATTCCTTCACCCATAGCCAGGAGTGTAGGATGTGCCTGTCACCTATGAGCCAACCCCCAAAGCTTCCCACCCAGAGGTTGCACACCCAAGCATGCACACCAGCATTCAGCAGACTCTGTCTCAGCCACTGGGAAGTTCCTGTGTGCTGCTGGGGCGTCTCCCGGTGGGCTCCATGGGCTTGTTTCTTTTTCCTTCCTCCTTCATGTTGCTAAAACTCCTTGTGGGGGGCAGTGTAAACAACGTCCACCCCTCCTTCCTTGGTCCCAACAACAGAGGCAGGATTCCACCAAAGTGCACTCTGGGAAACCAATGGGTTATTTACAGACCTCGAACTCACACTTCCTGCCCCAGCTTCCCAAATCCTGGGATGATAGGCGTGTTCCACTGTGCCTGACTTTGTTCGATCGTAAGGATTCAGTTTCAGGTATTTTGTTACAGCAGCAGAACACAGACTAATGTGTGCTCTCATGCAGAGGCATACACCTATACCATACTCCTGCATGTGCACAGACATTTGTGTACACACCTATACCTGTACACATGTATGAACACACATGGATACACATGTGAAGCCTGTCCACGGCTAGCTCCTTTTCTAGGTGACCTTGGTTATTTATCTACTGTATACATCTCTTGCCCTGGGTGCTCCATCCTCCCACCAGAGTGTGACTGTGAAGTGAACACTCTCTCTGCTCCCATTCTCAAGACCAAGTATAAGGCCAGGGGCATGATGGGTACTCAGCCAATGAATGAATAGGCAAATGAGGGAGTGAATGAGTGAGTGACTGACTGATGAGCAGGTGGAGGGAGGGGGCAAGATGTAAGACCAAGAGGGCCAGTGGTTTTGACCCTATGGCATCGCAGGCCTGTGACCTCATAACTCTGTCCCATCGAAGGCCTATGACCACACACCTCTGCCCTTCCTTCTGGGACACCTGGGCATCATGGACCCCTTACTAGAGCTCTGGCTACCTCCTTTCCCACCAGACCACAGCCTTGTCCCCTGGGGATCTTGTTCGCGGGTCTATGTCCTGCAAGTGCTGAGTGTCTGACTCGTAGGAACTGTTCACTAAATGCTTCACAGAAAGGGGTGTTTGCCCAAGGATGATGTCCCAGCAGCAGGGCCCCGCCTGCTCGGAGCCCCTCAACCTCCAGCACCATCCTCCATCTCTGCAGCTTTGAGTTCGCCCATCTTCTGCATGCTGATGCATTCTGGGAGCACACGGCTCTTGGGCTCCTGAGAAACACAAGGAAGGAGCCAGAACAGTGTGGCCTAAGGAGCCTGCGCAGCCAGGGGGCCTTGGTGCCAGCATGGACCACCCCCGCTTCTGGTGACTGGGAGGGAAAGTGTTGCAACCCGCGAGGGCTTTTGTTTTAGGGTGGTGTGACCCCACTGGATGGTGGTCCCCCAGGAGGTCCATAAGACAGTCCTGCGGTCCCCAGGAGAGCTGAGGCCCAACTTCTCCTCCAGGAGTGGCCTGGGCTCCATACTGAGTTAGAGAGAAGTGATTTCCCTACATGTCCCCAGAGGGGCTCTGGCTCTCTAGGGTCTTCACAGTGGGGATACTTTAGCGGAGACCACCCTCTGAAGCCCATGCTGAGTCAGCAGGCCCGGGCTGGGCCTTACGGGGCCAGGTGAAGTGCTGCTTGCAAGACGCGGTGCTGCTCCATGGGGCAGGGCTATGTGGTGGATGCTCCATAAACGTGTTCCTGAGGGTGGACGTGGGGAAGCTGCTGTATGTGGCTAGAGAAGGGGGGTGGGGTGGGTCTCCTGAGATGGGGGGTTCTGGGAAAGGCCTGGGGAGAAAGTTCCAGAAGCCCAACTCAGTCATGATCTGGAAGACCCCACAGGGAGCTGTCAAGGGGACAGCCGGATACACGGGTCCAGAGATCAGAGGAGAGGTCAAGGCTGGAGACAAATTTGGAAGTCATAGGCATTAGGGTATTTCAATCCATGGGAACCGATGAGGTCACCCAGGGAGAAGGGTGGAGAGAGGAAAGAGGGGACCAAGGAACCCCAGGTCCCATGGTTCCAGGAGCCCCAGGGGACCCTACTGTTG